TTACGACTTTAATTTGAATTTTGAGCAATTTTTCAACCTTTGATATGTCACGATACGTAAACGGCCTGTTGTCATTAATTTCTAATTGTTGACAGAGTTCTTTTATCAAACGTGTTTGTACATCGGATTTACCAAGTCGCAGGTTTTTGATTTGGTAATCGTTTAAGTGGTGTCCCAATATAACCGAGGTCTTGTAAGATAGCCCCACTATAATAGCACGGGGGCAACATAATTCATCCTGATTTTTAATTTGTGCTATACATCTTTTGTTTTTGCTAAATAGGTCCAAGTACTCCCAGGTCGGTTTAGGTTTTCCACCTTTAGGCATTATGATAACTTGAAAGCCGAATACCGTATCGTTGATGTTAACTGATTGATCCGACGTTAATATATCACTTATTTTATTTAAAATTTTCTGTCCTGACACATTGGACTTCATATTACCAGTGGATATTGGTGTCAAAAACTTCGGATTGTTGGCATGCATATTAACGATGTCCCCATCAGCGAAATTTGTAATTTTTTTAATATTTTCAATCATATTTTGTAATCCTTCCTCCAGTAACGTATTTAAACTAACTATGTCTAAATCCCCAGACATAGGTTTTAATGTGATATTATAATCAATCATATAAGCATTATACTTTTTTATAAATTTAGTTTTCTTATTGTTAATTTTCAACAAGTCAGACTCCAAGGTGATGACGCTGTTGTTTTTGTCTGCTAGTTTTTTTTTTTTGTTTCGGCCGGTGCATCACCTAAACATATACACTAATATAAAAATGTTAAATAAATACTTTGATTAGAAGGTCCAGCTTGTATATTGTCAATGAAAATATTTTGAGCTACTTCAATCATATTCTGATGCTTACCTAGAAAAAAAAATATGTTGTTATATAAATATAAATAGCTTATATAGTTTATCATACTTTTTTCGAACTCATCCATAACTTTATCATAATATTCGTCGTCGTCATCGTCTTCAAACATTATATCATCTAACAAAATAAAAATATTAATGTTTGACACTAAAATATATAGGTGTAATTTTCATACTTTTTTCATTATTTTCGAACTCATCCATCACTTTATCATAATATTCGTCATCGTCGTCTTCAAACACTATATCATCTAGCAAAATAATAATAATATTAATATTTGGCACTATGTATAATGATAATTTTTCATACTTGTTTCATTATTTTCGGCATTATCCAACGCGTTATCGTCGTCTTCGTCGCTTCTAAACGTTATATTATCATCTAGGAAAATAATAATATTAATATTTGAACACGAAATATATATATATATATATATACACAGCTACCCCGAACTGTTTGCTCGGTCGGTAAAAATTGTCTGAGAAATGTTGCAGGGGCTAAACATTGCCTAAACGCAACTCCTTAAAAAGGATGCAGGGATGAAAACTAAGTATTGCCTAAACGCAACTCCTTAAAAATGATGCATGTTGAAAACTTGCCCTCCCGGGTAAAAAATATTTTTAAATTGTACTTACCATGATTTTTTTTTCGTAGATTACCATGCATATTTTGAGTGTGTCTTTTAAGACTAACATTTCGAACAAATAAAACACCATAAATCGAACATTTGAATTTTTTTTTTTCATGACTCTTTAAATGTCTGGTTAAACTATCTTTCCGAGAGAAAACGGATAAACACTTATTGCATTTAAACATTTTTGAACAAATATTAGTATACGCACGCTATAACGTCTGAACGGTAGTTCACAAGTTGGCAGACTGACGCTTGTCAAGTGATGATTATTATTATAAAAAGAATCTTTTTGAGTGGTAGGGGTAAATATCCCTGGAAGGGATGTTTATCCCTGGAAGGGGGGAAATGTAATCGAATGACCGTATCATCCTTGGTCTGCACTGAGGTATTACAAAAGATTCTTTCGCCCTTGACAGGGGGAGTAAATAAATTACAGTTGACCTGTCTGACTATACGAAAAATATTATGTAGGTCATACGACTGTAACACGTTATACACTTGTATGTTAAAATGTTTCGTTTACTTTTTATGTATTTTTTTATAAACACCGGGGACATAAAAAGGATAATGACAAGGGTGGCTGTGGTCATTCAAAGGCGACCTTGCAGGTTAACCGTGTAATCTGTGTGTGTGTTTTTTTGTTTGCGATATACACGAATATTTTTTAAATAATTTAACCATATTTAATTATTAATAGATTATTTATCAATGTGATAATGGTAATATGATAACGCATTATAATTATTAATAGATAAAAACAATGTTATAACGCAGGATAGGGGGTTGACAGCATCGGTGTTGGACGTGGTGGAGGGTATGGTCAGGGGTTGAGCGGTGGAGGGGGGTAGGCCGGGGGGTAGGGTGTCAGCAGCGGTCTTACGGGTGGGGTGTCAGCGGTGGGGGGTTCGGTCGGGTGTAGGTGCGGCGGTGGCGGGGGCGGTGACGTGTGGCGGTGGCGTGTCGCCTCTATGGACCCACTTACTACTAATGTGTGTATCGTCAGCAAAGATAATTGATTTGATTGGTTTCGAAAGATTGTTGATGGCGGTTTGAAATAAGAAAACACTGAGCGGAGATCCTTGAGGTACTCAATTTTCTAATACAAAGGTATTAGAGGTGTAATTCCTGATTTTTAATTGAAAAGTTCTTTGGCTTAGAAAGTTAGTTAAGTATCTTATCATATTACCGTGAATGTTCAATTTTTTTTTAGCAATTCCATTACTCTGTAACGCCAAACAGTGTCGTAAGCTTTTTGTAAATGTAAGCTGATAAGAATCATTATTTGTTTATTAGCCAATGTTTCCAGTATTTCTGATTCTATTTTTACGTGGCAGTTGGTGGTGGAATGGTGCTTTCTGAATCCATGTTGAAAAGGTGATAGAAGTTTATGTTTATTCGCAAACCAATATAGTCTGTTGTATACTATTTTATCTAATAGTTTGTTAATGCTACACAGGACAGAAATTGGTCGGTAACCGGTTGGCTTGAATCTATTATTGTTTTTTTTTAGTATGGGGGTGATAATAGCATTTTTCCATTTGATTGGTAATATCCCCGATTGCCAGATCTGGTTGAATAGTTTAAGTAGTAGGAGGTTGCCACTTGGGGGTAGGTTTTGTAAAAAGATAAATGGGATTTTGTCCGAACTACAACTGTTGCTCTTTTTTCCTATTAGACCTGTATTTAGTTCACATACTGTTATCGGTTCATTTAGAATGTGGCCTAAGCTTTGGTTCTCATATAAGAAATGAGAATTATTAGTTTCTGTTTCTTGTTTATGTTTTAGGAAGTCGGAGTTTAAGTTGGCGTTGCTACTATTTGAATAAAAGTGATGGCCAATTGATTGAGCTATTGTATGGGGTTCGGTATGAGTTGCATTGTCTGTTAAAATGGTTTTAATTTGTACCGATGGGATCCCTTTTATGATTTTGCCTTTGTTCCAAATTCTTGTAGCTGATTCTTTCGAATTTAGTATTGAGGTGAAATTTATCCATGATTTATTTTTTCATTTTTGATTAAAAATCTTACTTGTGCTTTGTTTTTTTTAAAGTCAATAAAGTCCTGGATTTGTTTTGTGCGTTTATATTTGTTAAACGATGTTTTCTTATTTCTTATAGTGTGTTTAATATTTTTATTCCATCAAGGGACCGGGGGTCGTTTTCCAGAGTAGCTATGTTGTTCAAAAGTATTTGGGGCTGTATCATAAATTAGTTTACTAAATTGTTCAATATTTTCATCAATAGTATTTTCATTAGGAAAAGATGAATTTCTTATATTTTTTCCGATTTCCGTTTGGAAGATGTTCCAGTCAACATTGGAGAATTTCCATTTAGGGTTACGAGTGTGAATTTCATGTGTTGGCATAACATAAGATTATTTTAATTGGAAAGTGATCACTACTAGGAAGCTCAGGAATAACGTCCCATTCTAAATTGGGTGATATTGTTGCGGAGGAGAAAGATAGATCAATCTCGGAAAGGTTGCCATTACTAGAGTTAACTCTTGTTGCTTGGCCATTGTTGAGAATGTTGATGTTATTGGTATTGAGTAATGTTTCGATTTTGGTACCTCTATGGTCGTAGACATTACAGCCCCACAGAGTGTTGTGGCTATTGAAGTCACCAAGAATGATAAATAGGGTGGGTAGTTGATCAATAATATTTTGGATATCTAAAGCGTTGAAGTCTTGATAGTTTAGTAAGTAAATATTGCAAATGGTTAAATTGCTTTTGGCTGTAATGTTTACAGCTATTACCTCAAGATGTGATGTTATGGAAAATATTGCTTATAAAAATTGCCACTCCAACGCTAACTCTGGGTAACCGGCTAATTCGGCGAAATCTATTTCGGTGAAAGATATTTCGGCGAATGGATATACCGGCGAACGGTTATACCGGCGAATGGACGTATCGGCGAACGAATATATTGGCGAAACCACAATAACTAACCGGAAATATAAAAATTTAAATTCCATATTATATAAATAATAATTGAATAAAAAGAGACGTTCTAGGACCATATATATAATAATTACTTTGTAAAAATGTATAATATTAATTCAATAATTTAGTCAATAAAAATAATATAAATAATATTGTAATAAAAATAATACTAAAAATTTAAAAGTCAATATTGTATGCCAAACTTTTTAAATATGGTATAATGTCTTGGTTTGAATAATTTGTCACCTTTGTTTTTATATTTTCTGTGGTTCTTTTCCATTTTAATTTCTGTTTTTTTCTATGCCAGCCTCAATGTGTGCCACTTTTAATTTAGCTAGCCCGACCTCCCTTTGTAGGCCTTCAAACATCTTCCAAATTGATACATGATGACCACCAACTTGCTTTTGAAAGCCATTATGCCAACCTTCCAAACCATTATTGGTACGAGCTAGTCCATGTAGCTTCGTAGAGATTCCACAATTTTGGTTGAAATTTTGGCGTTCGTCTTGTCCGTCTCAGAAACAAACTCTGTGTTACGTATATTTAAATATTTGTGTTTAATGTAATTTCGCCGATACATCCATTCGCCGAAAAAGTTTCGCCGTAATCTCTTTCGCCGAAATTACTTTCGCCGAGATATCCTAGAACCCTAGCTCTGCCTGCGTGATTTATATTTTTAATATAACTTGAATAGTTATTTAAATTAATTGATTTGTGGTTGTTGAAATTTGTTTCTCGGATGCATAGTGTTATTGGAGAGAATTTGTTGACTAATAGTTTAATTTCATCGATTTTTGAATAGAATCCATTAGGATTCCATTGTATAATGTTTAATTTGTTTAAGTTTGTTTTCTGCATAATGATTAAAAATAAGGTTTTTTTGTACGTTGATTTTTGGTTGGTTTAGTATTATCCTATGGAAACAGGATCTCCGGATACAGTTGAGTCTAATATTATTTGATATAATTTTGAAATCCTGTTTTTAAAACTTGTATTCTTGATTTTTGGGCTGATAGTGTCACAATCATTTCCATGGCTGATAAGTCAAAGGGTTGTATGATACTCATAGGGTTGGGTACACCTATTGTGTTTTCGATGATATATTTTAGTTGAGTGAAGTTTATTTTTAAATTTGGTATAGTTTCAAATGCGATTTTTGCTGGTTCAAGTGTTTGATCCAGTTTTAATATAATCTGTTCTAATGAATTTGATCTTTTTTGTTTTTTTAATTGTGGTTGGGGAGCTTTCACGGAATCTAGTAGTTTGTCTGACAGAGTTACTTCTTAGGTTGTTGAATTTGCGTGTTGATTTGAGATGAAGAGCTGCTAATTTGGTTATTAACGTTTGATGGATTAATAGAGGGGAGGTGCTGGAGGTTGATGAGGCTGGTCTTTTTGGTGTCTGGGATGGGATTTGAGTGGGGGGAGGATTTTTGGATGCTTGTTCGGAAATGTTTTCGATGTTGGTTTTCATGTGTTTATCCACACTATTTGTACTTAGATCGATTAGAACATTATTATCTATTTCCATATGGTAGGATTAGACTTGATGTGGAGGGTTGTTTGAGATTCGCTGTTTGAATTTGAGTCAATTAGCATACTATTATCTGCGTCTGTATTATTGGAGATATGATTCGAGTTTTCGACGAGCATGGTTTGGGATTTATTTGTAATTTCTTTTTTGCAATAATTAGAAGTGTTGCTTAGCCAGTTTGCTAACAGAGATAACATATCACTGTATCGTCAGATAGAAAAATACGATAATCAGTTTGTTCGAAATTAATTAAAATTGAACTGGGCATTTTATCGATGTCAACGGAATGTATATAAAGGTGACGTCGACAACTTCCTATGTGATTAAATTCATCATTAGCTAAGCCTGCTTTCATAAACGTTATCGGTGAAACTATTTTAATTGATAAATTGTTGAATGCATTAGTAATTACGTCGTGCGGTATGACTGGTTGTACATGGACACAATTATACGTTTGGCTTGGTTGATAAGACGGCGAAAGGCTATCTCATTATTTATAACAATGGACGGCTGTTTGGTGATAATCTGTTCTACGATATTTTTGTTTGCAAAATAGATACAAAATTGATTATTTGATATGCGTGAAGCAAATTCAATATTGTTTGGATCAGTAAGTTGACTAAATGCTCTTATATATTCGATTTGGGGTAAGTCTTCGATAGTATTAAATATTACTGCTTGATCTTTTTTTGGAAATTGAACATTGGCGGTTGTTTCTGCGAACGTTTATTGAATATTGGATTTTTGAACTGAGGGTGAAGTGACGTTGGGGGTTGAATTTAAGTAATCCATCGTGAAGAGATGGATGTCAGATGATGTTACTGTGGCTAGGGGGGGGGGCGAAATAAAACAACATACCTTATGGCTTAACGATTGGAGAGTTCACGTAGGTATACAGCTATCGGAAGCTATAAATGCGATAACCGTAGAACGGGAATACACGTGTGTATCGGTCGGAGGTCGAACAAGTACTGGATTGAAGTATTATTTTGACTACTTATCATGTATACAGACACAAAAAAAAAACAGATCATTGTAAAATCAGTGTATTCATCGCTCTTTTCAGAATCTAAATATCAAACATTGAAGAACAAGAATGTACCTAGGTATAATACTGGACCCGGACATTTCGCCGCCACCGATTCGCAGCTGGACGTTTCGCCGCCGGACATTCACCACACCCAGTGATGTATTTAGTGGGGGCTAGAGGGGGCGATCGCCTCGGGCGGCATTTCTATAGGGGCGGCATCAGATTTTTACATAACTCATCTTCTGTTAATGAAAATGAAAATGAAAAATAATATAAATTAGTTTTTTTTTCAATAATATAATAATTAAAAAATAATAATTTTTATCAATAATAAGGCAACACTGTTTATACAGTTATCGCTTATTAGTGACTTATCAAAGTATAGAAAACATTAAAACAATGAATTTTGAATTTTTATACGACAATGTCGATATTACAAATGTACCACACGTCCACTGTCCACATCCACTAGTTATATTTTATAATAAAACTGTCGCGGGCAATCCTATGATAATGCTATGAACATGTCTGGAATATATTCTGGCCTCCAAGCACAAATTAAAAAAGCATGCACGTATGCATTTTACGTTCCTTGTTCTGCCCACTTGTTGAATCTGGTTGGCGAGTGTGCAGCATAATGTTGTACTTGGGAAAATACTTTTTTTAATTTGATTCAAAATACATATGTTTTTTTTCTCAGTTTCTACACACAGATGGCATATCTTATCCACAATTTTAAAGGAAACTGGTAATTTATCAATAAAAAGACTCTTTGATACTCGGTGGTCGGCTCGGCATGATCAAATATATCACAAAATTGGGAAGAAATCATTAAAGCATTAAAACAAATTATTGAAAATCCATATGAAAAAACACAAACCAAGTGTGAGGCAAGAAGAATTTTAAAAACATTAAATAGTTTAGAAATTGGAATTTTAATAGCAATTTGGGGAGATGTATTGCAACGATTTAATAAAGTAAACAAAGAACTTCAAAAAGTTTCAATTGATTTAGAAACCGTGATATCAATGTTTTCACATTATACGATTTTATTCGTGCGGCAGAGTTCGATCAGTCCCGATATCAGTCACTTCGAGACACGATTAAACTTAAACTTGCAATATATTGACAAAATAATGGCGGAATTCGATGTTGAATTTTTAATTACTCTCGTGCAAGAGAGACCACTGTTGTGGGACAAAGGTTTAGAACTATACAAAGATAGAAATGCTACAAAAAATGCCTGGCGAGAAGTTTTAATAGAACTTAACCCGGAATTTGATGCTCTTGATGATAAGGAAAAAAATGTGTTTGGTAAGTATATTTTTACTAATACTACAATAATAAAATATTATTTAAAATTTAAATTCTTAGTTTATTAAAAAATTGAAGTACCGATATAAATTAGTTAATTTGTTATAATAATCACTGGTATTTCAAGTTTATATTTTCGACATTTGCCATGGTAGACTTCCGACGTCAGAAACAAAATATTTACACAATGTATTTCTTATTGTTATTTGGGTAAGGCCTTCTCTTACGTTACTCTCATCAGATATATCTGACAAACCTGTGATTGACATTGTATCCAAATCGTTATATCTATCCCTCTCAAGTACAAAATTATGTAAAACAATGCAAGAATTTATAATTTTGACAGCAAATTCTGGTTATACATTAATTGGTCGATGAAATATCCGCCACTTATTTGTGAGGATCCCAAAAGAGCATTCAACAAATCTTCTTGCTCTAGATAGTCGATAGTTCAAAATTCTTTTATCGACTTTCAGATGTGTTCCACCAAAAGGTCTCAGTAAATGTTTATGTAACCAAATGCTTCGTCTCCAATGAAGAAGAATGTAGTTTTGACTGTCTATTCCGGGCAAAGATTTTGCTTCTGGCAATTGTTGTTCATTATTTTCTATTGATTTCCACAAACTAGACCTCTTAAACACTGAAGTCTTCACCATAACTCCCAACGTCAGTGTACACAAATCGATATTTGGAATCTGCAACTGCCATGCGAACTATAGAATTATATCCTTTATAATTAAAATACATTGACCCACTGTTAAGTGGGCAAGTTAAACGGATATGTTTGCAATCGACGGCTCCTATGCAGTTCGGAAAATAAGCTCTATTCTCAAATCCAGAAGTAATTAACTCCCATATTTCTTTCGTTGGTGTTGGAATAAAATCCTCTCTCATTAGGCACCAAATTTCTGTACATACTTCTTCTACTATTTTACTTGCCGTTGAAATTAGTATTCTATCACTGAAATGTAAATCGGTGAATGTACAACCACTTGCAAGATACCTAGAAAAAATTTAAATTATGAATAGCATATAGTATATACAATTATTTTTAGATTCTGAACAGAGCGATGGATGTATTGATTTTACAATGACGTGGGTGCTTTATTTATTTATTTTTGTGTCTGTCACCACGTTTTGAAGTAGTAAAATTTTTTTAGACTTATTAATATTTGATTAATATTTTTTCTTTCAGGTCAAGGAGTTCTTAAAAGATGGACTAATCTTCGCGATTCATTTTCAAAATATTTCAAAAAAGACAAAGAGTGCAAGAGAAGTGGCACAGGAGCAAAAAAAATGAAGAAATATGTATATTTTGATCAATTGCAGTTTTTACGAAAAATGTATGTTGAGCGACCGACTTCGAATAGCCTGGAACCGGAAGCGAGAAACGATCCAGAAAATGAAAAAAGATGACATAGAGCTACAACTTCAAGCTTCAGGTAATGTTTCAGATATTTCTAGGGAAAAAATATTTAATCCACAAAAAGGAAGGAAAAATAAAAGTCAGAACGACATTGGTTTAAGAATTATAAAATTACTTGAAGAAAAGGATCAACGTTGCAATAAAATGGCTTTTTTACAAAGTCTCTTGCATCACTTGCAACAATTTGATAATCAGGACTATTTACAATTCAAATGGTTTTGAAAGTTATCGAAAATATAATTGAAAGTAAGAAGAAAAACATTTTGCTACATCTTCTAATTTCGCACCTTATCAGCAACTTTATGTAAATACATCAAATCCTACTCAATATCATCCTTGACAGTTACCACTCCACTGTTTTCTATCTCAACCATATTCAACTGGAAATCATCAAATTCCATCATGCAGTAAACAACTGACTCCAATTACTACCAACCAAGAGGGTCTCTTACCATAGAACTTGAACAGAATAGCCCTTCTGTAAATTCAGTAGCATCCTCGCTAACAGAAAGCATTGATTTTAGTTACATTGTAATATATTACATTTTTTTTTTAACTTGACATGTGAAAAACAATATAACAGTCAAACTTTTTCTTTATTTTCTATTGTTATTTATAAAGTATTATCAGTTATATTAAAATAATAAAGATGCGATTTTTTTTTCTATTAAATTGTTTTTTCTTTTATTTTCTAGCGTATTTTTTAAAGTATTACTCAGTTCAACAGATCATTATATTAAGTTAATTAATTACTAACCGTAATGTTATTGATAACATCTCAACTGGTTGATACAATTTCTAAATTGCGTATTTTCACGTTGAAAGCTTATCCTGAGTTTCCATGTAATACATCAAAGAAGCACCATGACATACGGAAAATAATTACAAAACTTATTTTCATCATTTCGTAAGTCATTAAATAAAGTTTAAAATAATCCCACTTCCTCTCTTCTAGCATTAATAGGATGTACCCAAAAAACACAATTTTTCTGTTGTCTTTTGCGGCGACGATTGTATAACCATAGTGCAATAATTTGTTTGTCGTTCATTGTAACAACGCGCGACTTGAGTTTCTTATCAAACTCAACCTGTAAAAAGTATACTAAGCATAGGAAACCTGCATAATCATGTTTACAGTACGGTCAAAACGCGTATAATGTGTAATGAGCCACTGATTCCTGGTTAATGCCGTCCGGTTTTTTGCCGTACGGTCAAAACCGTTGTAGT